TTTGAAATACAAAGTGACTTTGAAAGGTAAAATACAAATTAATGGATCATGAACTATATGTTGAATACAACAATATATGAATACAAAAGTGAGATGAAAATACAAAGTTATAAATACAAAGTGAGATTGAATATAAAGTTGTGAATACAAAAGAAATTAAATACTCTCTTCATTTGAAATACAAAGTGATTTTGAAAGGTAAAGTAGACACATAAAATACAAAATTTGTTGGTATACAATTAGGTTGAATACAAAACAAAAGAGAAATACAAACTTGTTCACATATAAATTGAGATTGAAATACAGAATGAATACCCAATAAAATACAAAATTGTTAGCATACAATTAGGATCAATACAAATTAAGAAGGAAATACAAACATGTTGGTATACTAATTAAGATTGAAATACAATGTAAAAACAAAAAATGTAAACTTGTTGATATATAGATAGAATGAATACATAAATAATTCAACAGACATTGTAGACAGACAAATGCTTTCCCCAAATCTAAAACCTTAAAAGCAAATATAAATGTATTAAAAATCAAACAAAATAAACATATGAATGAATTTGTAGATTCTAATAAATCTGAAATATTAAAACGAAATCAGAAAAAAATCGAAAAAAATTGTTTAATCTACTAAAAATCTAAAATACATAAATTTTACATGAATATGTAAACAAACTTGCATAAAAATTGAAAAAATTAATAGAAATTTTTTAATATGTACAATGCGAAATATAAATCATAAATGGTGATATTGAAAAAAAATCAAAAGAAATCTAATAACTAATTGAAATACATAAATATTAGATGAATATGTAAACAAACTTGCATAAAAATCGAAAAAATTGACGGAAAATTCGTAATATGTACAATGCCAAATATAAACCATAAACGGTGATATTGAAAACAAATCAAAAGAAATCTAAATAACTAATCGAAATGGATAATGGAAATTACCTTGCCAACCGAGAAATCTGCTTGAATTAATAAAGAGATTTCGTTTAACAATAAAGAAAATTTCTTGATGAACAACAATTTAGCACATTGAAGAAAGATAAACTTGAAACGTGAAAGGTAGGGAAGAAACGTGAAAGTTGGGAAAGAAACGTGAATGGTGATGAAAAAAGGTTAATGGTATTGGTTTAATTTTATTATTTTCACTTTAAACGGTTATTGGTATATAATTTGGTCCAATATAGGACTCTTTCCATAAATAAAATTAATTTATAATACTAAAATCTGAATACATATTATTTTATAAAAATATTATCATTCTGCCATTTTAAGTAAATATTTTAAAGTGTTATTATTTTGACTAATTATGTTAGGTATTATAACTTAATGCTAATTTCCCTTATTTTTATCCAACCCAAGCCCAGGCGATGTCTATTGGGCTGCTACTGGTTATTGTTCAAAGTTGAAGGAATATATCACATATAAGGAAAAGTGTCAACCCATAGATATTTAAGGGTCAATATTACGGGTTTTAAATCTACTTTTAAAATATTATTGCTTATAACATTTTAATTGTGGGTTATAACAGATCACTTTTTATTTATAAATCAATTTAATTTCACTTTATTAAATAATTAGTCTTGTATAATTATATTTTTATTATTAAGTGATATAAATAAAGAATCAATATAATTATCTCTTACACATTTTTAGGGATTTTACCTTGATTCTTGTTCTCTTTTTACTTCTTTTTTTACTGTCTTTTATAATTATCTTTTTATTATTAAGTGATATAAATAAAGAATCAATCATAATTATCTCTTGCACATTTTTAGGAATTTTACTTTGATTCTTGTTCTTTTTTTTACTGTCACACCTCAAACCCCACCCCATCTCCGTCACCACGTCTTATCTAGTCTTTGCACACGCCATAACAACATCCCACCACCCCATGTTAAAAAAATCATTTTCTCTTTCACCTCTTCTCTCATCTCTTGTAAAAACCGTTTCTACATCTCAATATCACTAGAAAATCTTCATTCTACAATCAAAAGAAAGACCAAATTCACAATAATAAGAATCAAGTTTTGAGGATTTTTTATAAAACATGTCGAAGAAACCTGAGCATACTCCTAGAAAGAGCCCCAGATTAGTAAAAGCGAGTTCTACTATTAAAATCGAGGCTCCGACCTTTAACATATTGACTCAAACACTGTTGCCAAACAAGAATGCAAGTCCGGCGATAAAGGTTGTTACCACTCAAAAGAAGAAACAGATTTCGGAAAAAGAGAAGAAAAGTGAAGCAAAGAACATGCTACGGATGCTAGCAATTATCCTACACCAAAATCATGGAAATCAAATTTGAAATAGTTGATTGCAGCTTAGTGTCACAGACTTAGATTCTCACTAATATTCTGTGCGGCACTTGACAACTTAATCACTAGTCTTTCAAGATCTTGTAAGCTCAAGTAAGTCTTTTATGCTAAGATTGCTAAGAGAATGAAAGGAAAGACTTAGAGAATTTTGGAAGAAGACTTGTATTAAGCTTGGAAGATTGCTTTACAAGTTGCTTGATTCCTTTCTTTCTTTCTTGGTGCCTAGCAAATGAGGGGCACCTCTATTTATACTAACACCTAAGGACTAAAGTGCAATTTAAAATTACTTTACAAGTCCCTCTAATAATTACACTTTGGCCCCTTTCTAGAATTCTCTACTAATTTTAGGAAATTCTAAAGCTTTCCAAGATATCTTCTAAGTTATTCTAGAGAATTCTAAGGAAAGACCTAGGGATTTCTAAGGCCTTCTTGAAAAATCTAAGGGCTTCTATAGTTCTCTATAAACCTCTCCACAACTTTAGACTTTTCCGCCCCTATCCGAATGCAAAATTCGACTGTGAAGTGGCGAGACGTGACATTAGACTCTTAATGGTTATATGTTTTTTTTTTTTTTTTGGATGATATATAGTTGTTTTTGCTACAATTTTTTTTATAACAATACAATATGCACTGTTTTACATTGCCAAATTTATTCTTTTAGTAATGTGTTCCAGTTAGATACCAACTTTATACATCTTTATTTTAAATTTGTCAAAAGTTTCAAGTTGGATATCAAGTGTATACAATTTGAATACCAACATGGCCAGATTTTTATTGGACTTTAGTATTAAAAACGCCTCATAAACATAGTACACCACAATTGTATACATTGTTACAATTAACTAGTTCTGTTAAAATATGAATTACAAATTGTTTTGTCTAATATCGGGGTACCAGCTCTATACAAATTGGATACAACATTAACTAGTTTTAGTTTGGATATCAGTTTGAATCAAATGAACACCAAATAAAATCACATGAACTAGTTTTATGTTGTCTTACATTGTATCTCATTTATCTCCAAATTGAAAAATTAAGAGTGACATTAAATTGGTATTCAATTTGTAAATAATTGGTATCCATTTTGTAATATAATTGGTATTTTTAACTTGAAAATTTAAGACAAAAAATTTAAAACTAAAGAGTAAAAAAAAATTGAGAGTAGGAGAAGGGGGAAATAGGGAGGGAATTATTGTGGGGATTCGTACCCTCATCAACAAGGTATAATTCAGTAACCAACCAACTGAGTTACAAAAATTCTCTAAAAGAGTAAAAAAAATACACACGCATGGATATACTAACAAAAGATATCGCTAGGGGTATTTATGACCCAATAGAATAAGAAAGGGCGAATATGAGATAAATTAGAAATGTTAAAAGTATCAGTTTATCCTTTTCCATTATAATATAGAGTGTTACTAATAAGACTTAAGAGTAGGACTGACATAAAATACCAAAAATCGAATTATCGAATCAGATTAAATTTTTTGGTAATTTGGTTTTTGATAAAGTATTCAGGAGTAAAATTTTAGAATAATGGTATTTTGAGTTTGGTATGAGACATTAGAATCATATGATATTCTGTATTTCTCGAAAACCGATTTATTCACTTAATGAAGGTTATATATCAACATGTTCATAACTCATTAGTACAAGTTCAAACATAAAGTTAAATACTAAACATAAACAACCCAAATACATATATTTTTTTAGTTATGTCAATTTAATTTTTTTGATGTCTTCTAACTTGTTGATCTTCTATTATATTGTGCATCCACATAGAAAAATAGAAATAATTGTAGTAATAATATTAAATTTGTAATACAATCGGCTATAAATTCAATATGGTATTACCGAATATCATACCGAACCAAAGTTTAATTTATCGATTACCGAATTATTGAATCGAAATTTAAAAACTTGAAATTTAACACCTACTTTTAACTACCAATTACCAAATTACCGAATCAAAATTTAGAAATCCCGGACTAAATACCCAACACCCATCACTACAAAGAGACGTCATAATTGAATGAAACAAAGAAACAATAAAAAATTCTCAACTAGCTTGGCGTTGGTTGCCCTGTGCCAAACCCGTTGACTTTCAATTTTTATCCACAGTTGACTTTTCAATCTCATTCTTATTAAATGAAAAAAAAATAAAAAAGCTTCAACAAATGCCGATTGCGTTTTCATAATAGATAGAAATTTTGTAATAAATGTCATCCCCTTAGTGAAAATGGATCAATTGGACTCCTCATTATTTAAATGAGAATTTTTTTTTAATCATGCAAGAATGTATGGTGCATTATATTAGCTTTTTTATAAGTAAAAATTAAAATCAATTTATAAAGTACAATAAAATCAATTGTAACTTGATTATCCAAGCGCTCATCTTATTGGTGAAGATTTGATTGACATATAATTCTCTCTTCATTTTCATTTTTTTCTTATTTCAGTCTTCTTTTTAAAGAAAAAAATATTGAGAAAACCCTATCCTAAACTTGACGTGAATTATTACTTTCATTCTCAAATTATTGACAATTTTAAAAATATTTGACTAACTGAACTTAAATACACCCCAATCCAAATCAGATATCATAATGTTTTCAAACCCCCAAACCTAAACAGGGCATCCGTGCGAATGACGCTCCAAATTTTGGCGTCAGGGTTGAGTCTGCTCCGTTCGCATGCGCAGCGTAAACATCCAATACACACCACCTGCCATTGACCCAACGGTACCCACCTCCCACCCCAACTCTTTTTTACTTTTTGCCCTTTCGACGCCTTCATTTGCCTTATACGTTTCTCCTTCTTCTCTCCTATCACTGATCCTTATACGCTTACATACTTGTTCGTTTGGTGTAATTGAGTCTTCTTCCAATTACAATCTCCGCAGACGAATTGTATGATTGTTATTTTGGCAGTACTTAATCACGCTGTTTCATATTGATCTGAATTGAATTTGTTGTTTTGTCAAATAGCTAGGTTTTGGATTGTTTTTCTCTTCTTCTACTCGCTACTCAATTCATTGGAACGAAGAGAATGCAGCAGGAATCTACGTCTGAGCAGGAACCGGACGATTCTGAATCTGAACCGGAGTTCGTTGAGCTCGATCCTTCTGGCCGATACGGCCGGGTAAGTTTCTCGCTTTCTCGCTTCTGCATTGAATACTTTTTTTGGCTTGTTGTACCTCTTAAGTAGTGTTTGAAGTACATTTTTGAAACTGCCTACTGACTTTATTCTGCTCATTTTTATATGATCTGACTGGAAATGCATAGTGTGAAATTTGTTGAAGTAACGATTGAAAAGTTAGTTTGAGTAGGGAAAAGTTCATCATATCAAATTTAATTTAATGAATCAGAAAGCTTGACACTATTTGGATGGTTATTTCATATTGTTTCACAATGTATTGTATTGTATTGTTTAATGAATACAACGTTTGGATAGATTGTGTCATTTTTCGTCGTTACATAATGTTACACATCAACAATTTAAAGGATGAATTTATAAAAGAAGTAGGGTACGGGATAGAGTTGCTATAAAAAGGTTGGGTAAAAGATAAAATACGTATATGTAATTATAAGTAAAGACAAAATGAGAAGAAAAAAGTTAACGACTTAACCACACCAAATGTTGTTACACAAAATGAAACTTTTCTTCATTACCTAATGATAAGTTTAACGATACGATCAATAAAATGTAAGTAACAATTAAAACAAACATTGTATTTAAACTAATAACACAATAAAATAGATTGCCACCACCCAAACAAGTTGAATAGTGTAAAAGATTTCGGAAATCTCAAAATGGAAAGAGAATCATATAAATTGGGACTATGGGGGTAATATTTCTTTATGTATTTTACTTGTCCCGGGGTTCAATTCTTTCTGACTGCTTTGCTATTACTGTTGTTACATCTCTGGCTAATATTTGTTAGGTTGGTGTATATTTAATTAGTCATTACATATATTTGATTCTTCATTGCAACTAAGGAGTTGATTGTCTTGTTATATGCAGTACAAAGAGGTTTTGGGAAAAGGAGCTTTCAAGAAAGTGTATCCTATTTTGAATGTCTTCACGTGCATAATGCTCGTTTCATTTCATTGATGTGTTTGACAGGATAAGGAATATAAGATGTTAATTTGAATGGTAATCTCTTTGTTCCAATTTATGTGCCGGTTGTGCATGGGTTTTGAGGAAAAAAAGACTTTTGGAACTTATGGTCTTAAACATGTCGTTAGTTTAATGTGGTCTATAAAAAGAGAGGAATGAGAAGTTCACGTTAAATTGTTTCCAAGTATGAGAATATGTGCCATTTTTTCTGGAACACACTGTTAAGGAATTATTGTCACATAAGTGAAACAGAGGGAGTATATTATATTAGTAGTAAGGGAAGAAAATATTATAGTGATAGTTAAAATGTTAGATTGATTAAGAGAACATTACATAAAGGTATTAAATTTGAATATTTATATGACTTTTAATTCTTAATATTTGTGAAAGTTGTATGATTGTCATATAACCTGAGATGAACAATCGTGTTACTGCCTTTTCCCCTCATTAATGAATGTTGTCAAGTGAAACTATTGTCCATTCTTGACTTACCATCGGTAATATAGTTACCGAGCATTTGATGAATTGGAGGGGATTGAAGTAGCTTGGAACCAGGTTAAATTGGCTGATCTCTTGAGGAATGCTGTGGACTTGGAGCGTCTTTATTCCGAAGTTCATTTGCTTAAAACCCTCAAGCACAAGAATATAATCAAATTCTATAACTCATGGGTTGACTCAAAGAATGAGAATATCAACATCATTACTGAAATTTTCACTTCTGGGACTTTAAGACAGTATGGCTATGTGTTTTCTTTTTCTTCTTCTTCTTCTGCTTCTTTTTTGTTTTTTTTTTGCTTTTCTTTGCTCAATGCTTTAACCCCACTACCCATATTTTTGAAATATTGGATTATGGACTACTCTTTCTGTATGCTCGTGAAGGTACCGCAAAAAACATAAGAGGGTTGATATCAGAGCACTTAAGAATTGGTCTAGGCAGATATTAGAGGGTCTCTCATATCTACATGGTCATGACCCTCCAATTATTCATCGGGACCTCAAGTGTGATAACATTTTTATCAATGGTAACCAAGGGGAGGTTAAGATTGGTGACTTGGGACTCGCTGCAATTCTTTGCAAGGCTCGTGCTGCTCATAGTGTCATTGGTAAGGTCCTACTCAGATTTTCTCAGTTTTGCAACTCTCCTCAAGGTTGTAATTGGCTGTTCATTGGCAGTTTAGATGGTTCTGAAAAGTGCAATTCTATATTTGATCTCAGGTACACCAGAATTCATGGCGCCAGAACTTTATGAAGAGGAATACGATGAGCTAGTAGATATCTATGCCTTTGGCATGTGCCTGCTGGAGCTCGTGACATTTGAATATCCTTATATTGAGTGTTCCAACGCTGCTCAAATATATAAGAAAGTGACAGCAGTAAGAATTTATGTCTTTCTTCACAGTTCTCTTTATTTTTTGTTGTCCCTCAAGCTACGTATCAAGTTATTGCATGTTCACGATTGTTGATAGAGTCATAGAGATATCATTTCTTGGGATCAAGATTGTGCAGCAGCAAGAGTGATGGAAAATCTTTTAATTGAGAGTGCAACTCTTGGTTAAAAATTGTAAATATCCTTGCATTGCATAGCTTAGGCTTCAAGCCTTCAACCCTCGAGGAACTATGACATTTATGGTTTTACATGACTGTTCATTTACTAAGCTTTAGGTAATTCCATAATTATCCATTGGTATCTTCATGTGCAAAGAGTGTCATACAAATTGGGATCACAAAGAAATATAAAAATTGTAAGCATTTTAGAGAAATAAAAGCCAATAAGTTTTAAGTTTATTTTTTTGAACATTAATAAGTTTTAAGTTTATTTCCGTATCTAATAGAAGAATACTGCTCCATTTCTATATTCAGTAATCAGTAATAACACTCAAACACTGATAACTTAAAATGATAGTTAAATTATGTGACTTTAGTTATTAAGCATATAGGTTTTAGTTTACATAATTAGCTCCCTAGTCATTTACTTGAATTTTCCATTTAGGATTCATGTTGTCTAGTTTAAGGCTTGTATGCAGCAAAACGTGGTTATCTTGCTTTGGAGGATGTTCTCTCCTGGGATTGATGACTTATGTCTCTCTCCTTTTCCCTATTGGATGAGGAGGATGAATCTCAGCCTTCAGTTTGTATTCTCAGGGTGCACCACCCTCATAATAAATTTGTTAAAATAACAACTATAGGTGATGCTGCATTTGCATTTAGACATTTTAATGCACTTAAGCTGGTTATCAGAACAAATACAAAAAAGTCAGGTTTTTGTACTTTGTTGGGGTTTTATGTTAGTATCAAGTTCATCGACCTGCTTAAAGTGACAAAACTTCAAGGCTAAGGCATTTCTTAGGGACCAACTGTGCTGCAGTTCGAAGCTGATTCTACGCAAAGGTTGAAAACTGTATGAAGCATTTTCCTCTTTATTTCACCAACCTCTTTTTGAGAGTGTTAAATTAGTACTAGAAAGGTACCTGATAAGTTTACAAAAGAGAAGGCCTTGGATAGAAGCTACACAAAGAGAGAATATATTTTTTTATTTATTTTTTAAAATGGTAATGTTGTATTCTTCAGCATTAAGGATATGCGGGTGACCTGTAAACAGAGGGGAACAAAAGAAGAGAAGAAAAAAAAACACTACAAGGATCCTAATAATTCTACAATCTGTTCTGTTTCCTCTAAACCTTTCTCTTTACACCAAAAATAAAAGGATACAATACAATCCCATCTAACCTTCTGAATGGAATTGGACCTATCTTCAAAGTTTCTTCTATTTCTTTCTTTTCATACTGTCTACCAAATGCAATGTGGAATTATCCTCCACCATGCCTTTTGGCTCTTGCTCCCCCCTCTTCTTATCCAACAACTCAACAAGTCTGCTGTATGCTCGGGCATGCACAAAGAGAGAATCTATTAAGTCCATAAAATCATAAATTCTGATCAAGCATCTCCTCTGAGGCAACAAAACAAATTCTGAAGACAACTAAACTTTAAAGCAGCAATCAACTCCTTGCTTCCATCAAAGCATCTCCTCTTCCTCTCAAGCCATATTGTCCAGCTAATTCATAATGGAATTATTTTCCATGTCTTCTTCAGCTTTCTCTTTCTCTTCATTCTCTAACCTTGCCAGCACACAAGTAAATCCTTAATGCTTTGTGGTATCACCCATTGAACACGAAAAATATTCAGAAAAAGGACCATATCAACTGTGTCGTTGCAATGAATCAGCAGATGATTTTACTGTTTCAGTAGCATTTTTACAGAGGAAACATCTGTTACACAAGCTAAAGACTCTTTTTTGTAGGTTGTCCTGAGTCAAACAGGCAGCATAAGCAGTAATCCACTAAAAACAAGCAACTTTGGTTGGGGCATTTATTTTCTGCAATGACTTCCATGGACAAAATCCACAGATTTTAACAGCACATTATAGCAAGAGTTCACAGTAAAGCACTAAGGTTTCCCCCTTCTGTTATCTTTATTACACCGTACTGTTAGAAAAGGAAAAGGAATACTCCATTTGTACCATACTGATTCTGCTTGTTTCTTTTTTGTGAGAAAAAAGTAAAGCTATTTAGTTAACAAAGCACCCTGGAGGTGCATAGTTACAAAAGCTATTTACCATAAAAGGCTGTATTTCCTTAACTAGATAGGGAACTGCTGAAGTTTATCAACTGGTATGTATACTCTAAAACTTCAAGTTTGGACCAAACAAATAAAAGAAATAACCAATTAATTTTCAGCTGCTGCAGGGAGCTTTTTTCTCCTTCAAATCATCTCTTGTTTCTTTCATTCCATAACACCCAAAATATAGTTAAAGGAATCGAGTTCCATATCTTTCTGGTAGTTTTCTGTGCCTTCCAATCCCTCCAGATGCAAAACACTTATATAATATCCCCTGGAAACACCCATTTAATGTTGCTTTTATGTAAAAATAAACTCCATCCAGGCTGCTGAACAGTGCATGAAAGAGTGGTTTACTGACTCCAAATCCTTTTCACACACAGGTAAATTCTGTTAGAGATACAATACGTTATCTTGCGTGAGGTGAGCTCCATCAATGCTATCCAGTTAAAACAGTGCACCCTGGAGGGATATTAGTTTTCCATAGCCTGAAATCTGATTTTCACAGGCTGATCCCGCTTGTTTCTGTTTTGCATTGTCAAAGATAAACCTACTTTCGCTCGGAGTTTTCTGTATTCGTTTTTCTTGAGTGTTTGAGCATAAAATAGATATTGCAAGGGTATGGCCCATTCAGGAGTTCTTAAGACCGAATTCTGTGTCCCCTCTCTCTATCCTTGAATATAAAAGTAAGTTTAGTCCCAATACCTTTTCTTTTATCAAGAAGGGTGTCCGGCCTCACTTCAATAGATGTTCAATTTGCTAAGGAAGTGAACAATAACATGATATTCCAAGAAACAAATATTAGTAGTCCTAAGAAATCAACATTGCTTACGACTTCTGTTGAATGAATGTCCTTGACTTGGTGGAATCAGTAGCTCAAGATGGTTTTACCATAGGAATGAGATGTTGTTGACCACTTTAAAAACAGTTTGACCATGCATGAATCAATTGCTGATTGTAGGGACTTGGGCTTTATTTTCTTAGTCTTGTATCCACATAGTTCCACTCCTACCTGCTGTTTGTGACGGAAAATATCCTTTGGTGTTTGGTCCTAAACTTTTTTATCCAAGTGAGCCTGCTGAATTGTTGGATTCACAGTTCATTTCATATGATGTTGTCAAGCTCTTTATCATAAAACTAATAAGGGTCCTGTGAACTTATGCATTCCTTGAGTAACTACTTGTGTTATTAATAGCTAATATCATCAACCTGTAGGATCTATTGTACATCCAATTGCCTGCAGTTTGTCGTGTTTGTTTTCATTAGTCATTCAATTGTTCTTGCAAACTACCCAAAAAATATTGTCATGACCTGCTTGCATAAATGGACGTGTTCATTGTGTTATAGGTATTAAGAAACATGATTTCTATCCCTGATGGAATGCATTCCAGTTGACCAATAAAAATTCAAAATATTATGTAAATGCCTAATACTTTGTTGGTTTATTTGTGAAGAGTGCTTTGTCAACATTGAGTAAGCATCACTGGAGTTGCCTCTTCCTGGGGACAATTTTCATAGGACTTCCAATCATCAGTTTACCTCCATGTACCATCCTCACCTTGGGGAGTTTGTGTCTGAATGTGAATCTCTCTTCTTCTTTTTTTTCTTTTCTTTTTTGCATTGCTTCAGTTAGCAGCATCAACCACTTCATTTAGACCTTACTCCAACTGAAATAATTTTTTGTACACACATTCTCTCTCTCTCTCTCCCTCTCCAATAAGTTAATCCCTCTTATTCTCTTGTAAGTGCTAATTCAGACTGTAGCTAATCCAGACTTCTGCTTTGAATAATGTGGTATGTATCTTGATGTATTTCTAAGGTGTTATATTTTTAGGTTAGTTTAGTTAAGATGAACAAGATAACTGAGTCCAATCTTCTGTGGACTTGCTCTATTGGGTACATGGTTCCTATTGTTCATTTATCGGAATTATGTGACATTGACAAGAAATATATATGAAATGACTCATAGCTAAAGTGGAAGGAATAAGGCTGATCAAATGGGGGCTTAATTGTTTGGCGTGCACTTAACTTAAACCATGCTAATGATGTGGTCAAGCGAACCACTGCGAAGAAGCCTAGCATCTCTTTAGGTTTTAGCAGAATTGACAACTTAAACTGAAGGATACTTTTTCTTTATCAGTTGTTCCAACGACATAATGGAGATCTTAATCTAGATCCACTGGCTTGCATGACATTGAAGGTGTTTAAAATGAGTTTCACCAACACACTATTTTAAGAGGTAATAAGAGTAGTGGTTGTTTGGCTGAAGAAATAACAATGGAAATGCGCAAGTAGGATCATGAGGGGATAGTGTAGGTGGTAGTTGGTACTATGACAGGAAAATGAGTTCTTTACTATTGAAGGTGTTAAATAACTTTGACACTTAAGGCAGTATTGTAAGGAGTAATTGTCTTGTTGATGGATTAATGTGAAAGTTAAAAAGGTGGTAGTGAAAAGAGGGAAGAAAAGGTTGTGTTCAGATTTAGAGGGTACTAGTGCTGGAGATTTACCAGAAACAGTAAGCATACCAAAATGGCTAGGTTTTGGTAATGTACATCTGTCTTCTCTTTCAGGGGAACATGGGGTACTCAGTAGTTAGCACTTAGCACATTAGTTGCATCCATTCCAAATGTGTTGCTTTTGCATCATGATATGTTGTCCACTTGCTTTGAAGGGGAAATATCTTCCCTTCACTACTTGCTGCATTTTGAGGACTCTATTATATATCAAGTAATAAGAGACTGTTTACCCAAAAAAAAAGTAATAAGAGACCAACTTAGATCCTTGTCAAATCTCAAACTTATCATCAGCAAACATTTATCTCTACTTGTGGGGCTTACTTTTTAGTTGAAATACTCTTTTATTTTAACTCTTCTACTAACATTGTGCCAGGTCGAGATGACACTATTTAGTGGGATTGAGGGAGTGATTGACGGAGTGCTTTATTTTACAACATTAGATTCTTACTCAAACAAATCCACGAGTCCTATACAATCAGTTTTCAGTTTTTGATAGCTATAAATTACAAACTTTAACTTTCTGCAACTTTGTTTCCTTTTAGCAGATTAATCTAATGAGATAGTTGACTCTGTATTTCTTGGTATTTTAATTTCATCTTACAACAACAATACTACATTGCTAATATTCTGATTTTACCAATTTCATCTGTGAAGGGAATTAAGCCTGCCTCATTGGCAAAAGTGAAGGATCCAAGAGTTAAAGCCTTCATAGAAAAATGTATTGCAAAAGCTTCTGAGCGGTTGCCTGCTAAGAAACTATTGGTTGACCCCTTTCTCCTTTCTGATGAGGATTCTGGAAACGTAGGTCGATCTTTGAGCTTCAATTCCGGACATGCAGGTAACTATGTGATCACACCTTTTCTAAAATGTCCCTTTATTATTGACTTTTGTGGGATCTTTACAGATATGAGTGATGATCAGTCTAATAGTGGAAGGAGTACAAAGGACCCTTTGCCTGAAGGAGGCAGAGATTTCACAGTGCAGGGGCAAAGGAAGGACCTAAATACAATATTTCTTAAACTTCGAATTACTGATTCAACAGGTTACTGTTTGCTCCTTGTTTCTTTTGTCAAGCTTAAGGTGCATCTATTAATTAGTTGTATAACATTTGCACTGTGGTATCAGGTCATATTAGAAACATTCACTTCCCCTTTGATATTGAAGTTGATACGGCGAATGCTGTTGCTAGTGAAATGGTTGCAGAGCTGGACCTGACAGATCAGGATGTTTCAGCAATAGCAGAAATGATTGATTCAGAAATCCGGTCATATATCCCAGATTGGGCACCAAGAGAAAACTCTAGCAATCACATCACCGATGAAGTTGCTTCTGATAACTTTACTTCTGGAGTCGGAGATGATGCTCCTCCCTTTACAATTGATCCTGCTCATTCGGGTAGTCTTGTGTTGGAAAGACTTCCTTCAGGTCGAAAGTACTGGTCTGTTTCACCGAAAACAACCAGTAATGGCAGCTCTCCACGCAGACAGGGGCCTTCAAACACGTCGCTGACCGATTCACCAACTCATGAAGACAGTTGGACGGAAGAAAATGAAGAGTCACCTGTTATCCTGAGAGAGGGAGGGAGTTCACATGTTGCTGCCTTACTCGGACACGAAGATTATAAATCTGATACTTACGTGGATGATGATGCCAGTGTTCACCGTGATTCTGACTTTGGTGACAATGCTCATTCTGCGGATTTTAGTTATGCAAGCAGGCCTCATTCATCAGAGGAAAGAAATAACATGATCAGCAACAACTACCCAGCTGATATCAGACAAATCACCAAGGAACTGGAGAAGCTGCGTGGACTGCAGCAAAAGGAGCTAAATGATCTGAAGAAGAAACATGACTCGGCTATCTCAGATCTTCTAAGCAAGCTTCCTCCTGAGATCCGTGACATTTATGGTCACAAAATATCTTCCCATAATTTGCATTGCTGATGTCCTGAAAACTCAAGTTCCTCTGTAAAGATGTAAGTTGCTGTTTTGTCTTTTGCCACTCAACTGTTGAGTAATTCTTTGATTGTACCAATGACCTGACTGTCCCTGAAAAGTCCCAGAGATATCCCGGAATGCTGAAATTATTCGTTGTTGCTGACAATTATCACATCCAAAATCGAAAAGCTCGAGGGATTAAGCATGGACGTATGTTTAGATACAGATTCAGCTCTATCAAGGTTAAAATCAGTTCAGGGTCAGGAATTGAGGTAATACTGAAAGAGGAGACAAGGAAGCCATGCGTTCAAGATTGGTGACTCCATTTGCTTTGTTAGTTATTCGGATTTGCTTGCTTGCACACTTATGTATAATGCGTCTGCAAGTCATCTTGCAGCTTAAAACAGGACCTTCAATTTCATTGAATTGTATACTTGTACATATTTACCTGAGTACTTAGCTATTCGAAATGTCACTTGGTTGAAATTATGCAGGTTGTTTTTTTCTAATTTTTTTTTATCATTGGTGTTCGTTAAATCTGTAAAGAAATTCTATTTATTTGAATGATTCTTCAAGTGTCTTAACTTATCACTACCAATCAGATATCACAATTTGTGTTATCTCATTTTTATCTTTGTTCTTTTTGTAGAGTTGAACATGAAGCATATATTTTCAGTCTTACCTATCTTAAAGTTTGACTCTCTAGAGTGTTTCTATATGGTTCCAACTTCTTGTTCTTTCAATAATTTTCATCAATTAACACAAAAATCATTAATTAAGCAGCTTAATAACAAGCACCACAAAACCTTATCCTACAAACTCGATATAGATGTATTTCCTCTAATCATACTTTTAACAAGTTTTTCATACCTCAGTTTTATACATTGGACATAAACTCTTTTTTTTCCTGACGCATACCATGCTAAATGTAACCGTTGTTGCCTATTCACAGATTTAGCATGTATGTCATCCATCCTGCTATACTTGTCTTGTTTCAGTTTTTGAGAGTTAAATTACTTGATCAACATCTTAAGATGAAATAGAAAAATTACGATTTATAATATATATTTTTTAAATATCTACATACTTTCCCATAGTTGCAAGTTGCAGCCCATTGCTGTGTCAGTATGTCATCCAAGAGAGGTGCCCAAATGGCTAATATATGAGAGGCCCTCTTTCTCCCTACCAAAAAAGATAACTTCATTATCCTCTCTTTTTTCTATCACAATTCATTTCACTCTCTTTCTCCAAATACTTCAATCCTCATTTTCAGGCAAAAGCTTCTTCCATGGCTTCAATTTCAGCAGCTTCTGCAACTGCTGCTGCTGCTTCTACAAAGATTAATACCAGTGGTGGTAGTGTTCTTCCTTCTAAATCCTCTAAGCTTATCCTTTCATCTTCTTTTACACCAACCCCATCAACCCTTTTTCTCCATTCACCAGCCACTACTACACCTTCTTCTTCTACCCGCCACCGCCGGTTTACTGTCCGAGCTGCGCGTGGTAAATTCGAAAGGAAGAAACCCCATGTCAATATTGGTACAATTGGCCATGTTGACCATGGGAAAACCACACTTACAGCTGCTTTGACCATGGCTCTTGCTTCTCTGGGTAACTCCGCCCCCAAGAAGTATGATGAAATTGATGCTGCCCCTGAAGAAAGGGCTCGTGGTATTACGATTAATACTGCCACAGTGGAGTATGAAACTGAAAATCGGCATTACGCTCATGTAGATTGCCCTGGTCACGCTGATTATGTGAAGAATATGATTACTGGTGCTGCTCAAATGGATGGAGCTATACTTGTTGTTTCAGGTGCTGATGGTCCAATGCCGCAGACGAAGGAACATATTTTGCTTGCTAAGCAAGTGGGTGTCCCTAATATGGTTGTTTTCTTGAACAAAGAGGACCAAGTTGACGATGAGGAGTTGCTTGAGCTTGTTGAGTTGGAGGTAAGAGAGTTATTGTCAAGTTATGAGTTTCCTGGTGATGATATTCCTATTCATTGTGGGTCTGCCCTTTTGGCTTTAGAGGCTTTAATGGCTAATCCTAGTATTAAAAGGGGTGATGATCAATGGGTTGATAAGATTTATAAATTGATGGACTCTGTTGATGAATATATTCCTATTCCACAAAGACAAACTGAATTGCCTTTCTTGATGGCTATTGAAGATGTGTTTTCTATTACTGGTAGAGGTACAGTGGCTACAGGGAGAGTTGAGAGAGGGACTGTTAAGACAGGGGAAATTGTTGATATAGTTGGATTGAAGGACACTAGGAACACTACAGTAACAGGAGTTGAGATGTTTCAGAAGATATTGGATGAAGCAATGGCAGGAGATAATGTGGGGTTGTTGTTGAGAGGTATTCAGAAGATTGATATTCAAAGAGGAATGGTGTTGGCAAAACCTGGATCAATTACTCCACACACCAAGTTTGAAGCTTTGGTGTATGTGTTGAAAAAGGAAGAAGGTGGCAGGCATTCCCCTTTCTTTGCTGGTTATAGGCCACAGTTTTACATGAGAACAACTGATGTGACTGGAAAGGTTACTGCTATTATGACTGACAAGGGAGAGGAATCTAAGATGGTCATGCCTGGTGATCGCGTAAACATGGTGGTCGAGCTCATTATGCCAGTTGCTTGTGAGCAGGGAATGAGGTTCGCTATTAGGGAAGGAGGAAAGACAGTCGGAGCTGGTGTTATTCAGAAAATCTTAGAATGATGAACTTGCAGCTGAGCATCTCTTTTTACATATGGTCGGATTTTTCCATTGAAGTTTATTAATCCATTGTCATATATGCGACTTTTTGGTTACTTTTGTTATGTCTTAGAATCTTACTTTAGTTGAAGTATCCTGTTTTATCCCCCCAATTCTACTGAACTTTTGGAAATTTCCCCGTCTCTTGTTTCACTTTTCATTTGCTTGAAAGAAATGATATCATTTGCTCTCATGTACTTTATTTTCCTCTAGATAGATGCACACTTTCTTTTGAAACAAAAGCCCAGATTGCTACAAGTAATATGCTTTCTTAACCACTGTATTCTGTTGGATAACTACAAGTAAGACATCTGAACTTCTTTATGCCCGTGTAAGTGAAATATAGTATGAGAGACAGATTTGAATATATTTGCGTTGCTTATAATCGATATTCAGAATCGTTTAGTTTAGCATCTTTGAGCAGAATACTGACAGTTGGTTCATCTTGGATTGGAAAAGGACTAACTGGCGTTAGAATACAAAAGCAGTGAAAAATATGTCGTATGTGATGTTGACTTGACATGATGAGGAATGTTGTTCTTCATTGACTAACACAAATATCTTAGATATCACATTACGATAGTCCCATAAACTTTTCTTTGGTATATTCAGAATTGAATGGTCCATTTTCTCATCTTTCAGGCTTGTTCATCCTATCATGCACTCGTTGACTTCAGCGGTTTTCTTTATTCTCGAGCTAATGTGGCATAGGTAGCCAACTGGTCGATTTTGATTTCTTTGGTTAGGAAGCATGTCGTCCTAAGCTAAGATTATTAAGAATATGTTTGATCTTTCTGGATTTGATGCTTTGAAACTGGTTTTACCTTTCTTCACAATTATTGGAGCTTTGTTTCAACCAGCAATGTGGTTTTAAATTGCTGGTTCATTCTCATGAAAAATGAAAAAAAGTTGCTATATAGATCATTATAAGTCAAGTTCTGTGCACTGTGAAGTGAGTTCACCTTTAACTGGACACTTTGTAATCCCCTTGTGCTGAATTAACCAAAGCAACACCGTTTGTATGTCACTAGTGAGTAGTGAATTGTGCATTTCTTTCAAGAGTATATCTGTCTATTCCTTGTGCTTGGCTAAGTAAAAGTTGGGATCCCTATCGGAAATGTTACTTTTAACGTGAGCTCATTGTCAGAGTGACATTTTTGTCATGACTGTCAGTTTTTCTCTAAACCTCAGAGCAGTTCTTTGCAATGACATTCGAGAATGTTATTGCAATGCTCCGATTAAAAGGGGGGAAAACAACCGGAATACATACAAGACCCTTATGCTCTGATTAGTTCGAATGTATCTGTAACCTTACTTATTATCCTTTTATTTACCTAGCTTGGATGGTATCAAGTTTACAATGAAATGATACTGCTTGAGTCAAATGACAGAGGAGAAAAAACGATCATTCTGTTTAATAGAAGTATTTGAGCAAAGATATATGTCAATGGGAGGCCTTTTGTTACTAAATTGGCAAAAGGATCACTGTTGTGAAGTGTTACTATGATTCTTTTCTCTATACTGTTCTTGGTGAACGTGTCTGATTTATTGTGTTTCTTCTTGTTATTCATACTTGTTACTCTTGTATAATAACAGCCAAGGAAATATGCATTATGCAATAAATAGAACTTCATTTAGCTTTTTTGATGTATGGAACATGTGAAGTCACTGGTACTTCAATTAGGTTAACTGTCAATGATCATTGCCATAAACTCTCAACTCAAATCGACCACATTTGTTACATTAGTCTACAGGCTTTATAGGCTTCAACGTCGTTGGCCAGTTATTTTCTTAAGTCTACACTGCAATGTTGTTTGCCAGTGATATCTTAAGCCTGAGTATGTATCACAAATCTGATAAATAGAGAAACCAACCTTGTGACTTATGGTGTGCACAGCATTTTACTAATCAACCTTTGGACTCAATCATCCTCTGAGAACTGTTTAACAATCTTGTCTAGACATGATAGAAAAGAAGAAAACTAGCAAACAGTAACATATTGGTCGCCAAGAACAAATGAGATTGCATTAATATACTTGAAATTGTAACATTGATTTATAGATATTAGAAGTGTTTGAGATGTTTTCTGGTGTTACATGACATTTGCTAGTAATTTGGAACAATCATCGCTTGCATGATTCTATGAAGCAAAAATTGGTTGATTTTCTAAAAGATAGTTGAAGCAACCAGCTCTTGAAGAAATGCAGCTCTCTGCCTTTTCTCTTCAAAATCCTCTTCTAGTGCTGAATCAGATACAGCTAACTTGCTGCTGCACAACACAACAGTAGATTTCTGTCATCCTACGGTTAACTAGCACTGATTCTGTATATACTGACAGTATATAAGTTTTTATACATATAATTCTAACCTATTATAGCAGGTCACTTATTATGTATTCTAGTTTACCAATCAATGCTTATTAGGAGCCACCATTATAGTTACAAGTTCGGTACAACCCAATACATTCATTTAAAATGTATGAACAGTCTATCCATAACCCAGTGAGCAAAACAGATCGTGTTTCAACCCATGAACTAAAATTTCCTCTACAAGGATCAGCTAAACATTTCAAACTGGAGATTATCAGGTCTGTTACTCTGTTAGACACCTAATATTGTTAACATATTGAAATTTTTGAAGCAGAATTATGTTCTATTATAAACATCCTCCGAGTTTCATGGCCAACTCCTAGGTCGTCCATTGCTGCAACAATAGACTCATCCTTGATATGTGCTGATGAATAAACA